AATATTCTGGCATATCTATATACTATGTTTTCTAATTCAGCTATGTGTCATTTTTATACTCTTGTAACCAGTTGCTACAGAGTATTATAGTTTTGTTTACCTAAATAGATATAAGGTTACACATACATATGCATATAAATGATCAGGGTGACGAGAAAAGTTGTCTGTCTCTCCATCCGTCTGTAATCCGCTCAGCACGAATATTACAACAACTCCTACCTATCCTAATCGGCTGAAAACCCCGTTCACTTCCCCCATAAAGGTACTCTTCAAAACTACTAAAAGCGCGATAAACCAATAACTAAATGCGCCAGAATTGCAAAAATGTGCCGCCGGGATGGTTGACAAGGCTTAATACGAACCGTGTTAAGAATTGGGCGATGAAAACCCTTATCTCGGGACCCGACTGACCGATTTCATCTCAAATTTTGTTATGCGGTATTTTCTTTATATTTTTTTGTTGTCACGTTAGAAATTAAAAAAAAAATAATTAGCGAAATCGGACAATAACTACGCCTACTTCCCATATAGCACCATTTTAAATTCCACTTGATTCGTTCAATTTCCAGTACAAAAATCAAGAAGCAATTCGTGTAACGAGATTAAAGTTTGTACCGAATATTTGGATGCCAGTACCTATAGTTGACTTTTGATCGAAAATATCCGTCAATGTGTGAGATATGTAATTGAAATTCAGGGATAGTATTCATCTGACAATGGTATGTCTTTATGTTAAATGTTTATGTTTTTATTATATGACATGTTAATAGGTCGATACTACCCAAACTGCCATATACTATATATAATATTATAGTTTTCGTTTTTCTAACAAATCTTATGTGTCTGTCAGTATAAGAGTTATATATAGTATGCATGTATATATAAAATTGCTTGCATTCCGATCCTCAGGTTGGCGTTATACACCATAAAGTATTTACCTGGCTTTGATTCTTATAAGCTGCAAGAGTATAACATGTTCGGTTGCACCCGAACTTAGCTTCTCCTTATTTGTCTGTCAAAACTTTCTGTGCAGTGTTTGTATGGAAAGCTGCACAAGCAAACAGCTAGACAACCATCTTTCTACTGTTCAGCCAAATGGTATGTGTAATTCATATACCTCGGTCAAATAATTATATGTGCATTATAAGATATGGTCCTTTATTTATTTTCAGTAATTGGACGCAATGAGGCGCTGACTCCACCAGTGTTTTTACCAAGGACAAAATTGCATGTTTCAGTTGCTTAAAACTGTCTTATTGCTGGGAAGATGCATAAATTTTGCCACTCCAGCAATACAATTTTCCGAGAGTTAAACAACTCCTTTGACTTCTTCGCCACATGGATCGTAGCACTGTCTTGATGGAAAATCCATTCATCGCCGTGTACATTACCACCAAAATTAAGGGGTTCATTTTCCAACAAACGTAGGTTTCTGCCTCTGCATTGCCTTATGGCAAGTGGTCCATTCAAATTAAATTTCTTTTCGTCATGCATTACTTGTATGACTATTGGTTGCTAGCTGTTGAATGCGCTGTTTGCTCCTGTAATAACCACTAAGACAATTTGTTGTTGTGTTGCTATGCCTTTTTACAGAAAAAGCGGTATGGCCAACATTCATACCAGATATTTATTCCTTTAATAGCTGCTGCGGATAAATCCACGCTCCTCATCTGATAATTCAGTTCCAAGTAGTATTTCCCTAGAAATTCCAAAAAATTGTACTTAATTTTTGTCGTCTTAAATATTTATCTGTGTACAACAGAATCGCGAAAAAGTTAACCAAAATTTCCCAAGTGTTTTACTATTCCGAAATATTAACTTTTCCAAAGAGTTTTCAAATTTGGAAAAAAGGAGGAAATAGACATACTTTTGGTGATATAATACGTACAATTCATTTGCAGCACTCACTTGAAAAGAATAGATAAGTTCAAAAAAGTTTACCAAAAGTTAACTTTTTGGCGCGGTAAGTGGACACTCAAAATCGGTCAACTTAGCCGAAGGTTTAACTTTCTCGCAATTTAACTTTTGTGCGATTCTACTATATTATTTTTACTTTAAAATCCACGTTATCTCCGCTTTTACTAAGTTGCGACTTTTTCATTAAAAATAACGGTGCGGGCATGAATTTTTTAAATGATGCTAAACCATAAAGTAATTATTCGCGATACAGTACAAAGCATGCAATCAAACACTGTTTCATCTACGAACTATTGTTACTGACAAAAGAGAACAATGCTTACATTTTTTTTATGTTTAAATAGAATTTAAGACACTAAACAGCTAACAATCGCTGGAATAACATATGTAAGCAGCATAACATAAGCACAAAGAGATCGATTTCACGTAACCTACATTCAAAGGAGACAATCTCATAGATATCAAATTCAGATGACTGACGCTCATGTATTTGTCAAAAGTTATGCCCGAAGTGACAACATATAAATCAGTTGTTCTTTTTTGTTCATATTGTATTTTTATGCTCTTGCAACATGTTTCTACAGACTATAATAGTTTTGTTTACCGCGGTTGTTTGTATCATCTAAATGAAAAATAATAGAGTTATATACATATAGGGCTATAAATAATCAGGGTAATGAGACGAGTTAAAATCCGATTGACTGTCTATCCATCCGACCGTCCGTCTGTGCAAGCGAGAACTTGAATAAAAATTAAGATATTTTGATTAAATTTAGTACAAGTATTTCTTGGAAAAAATGAGAATGAGCGTAATCTAACAGGTTTAATGTACATATCTCATTAATCATTAAAGCTAAAACAACCAAATTTGCCTAAATCTCATATTATATTAACTCCTATTGACAGTGCCAAAATGGATAAAGAGACACGTTCAAAATTGGACAATGGGCGTGACACCGCCCACTTTCAGGTAAAATAACATATCTCGGGACCTGCTCCACCAATCATAGCATACCTTTCTCATCATAAATTCGATTTGGTTCCTTCACTTTCCAGTATACAAATACGAAGCAAATAATATAACGAGATAAAGCTTTGCACAAAAAGGTGCCTTGAAGTATGTCATAGTAGAATAGTATAGCTGACTTTTCACCGAAATATCGCTCAATGTATGAGATACATATATAAGTTATTAAAATTTGAAGAGAATCCTCTCCCGATATATGTATGTCTCTGTGACCGAAATGGCATGATCCAGTCAATACTTCGTTTAGCCCCCATATACTCAAATAAAGATTATTGAACTCTCGGGTGGCTTGTTTTACTCATAACAGTGCACAAAGAGTCGTGGAATAAATCAAATCGGGTGAAAACTTGCCCTAAGTCCCATGTAACTATCAAGTCTTATGTAACTTCAGGTATTACCCCGGCTTTAATCCTTGGTTACAAGAGTATGAAATATTCCGAACTATAGCCGAACTTAGCCCTTACTTTCGAAGTTGTGTTTTCGATGTTTGCTAATGTGAAATCTACAAACTAGTACTCAAAAAGATTGGACTTAACATTTGCGTCTTCTCTATTCTTCTCATTCTCTGGTTAGATTATGTACCAAACGTTAGGAAATTAAAATTCTGACAGATAAAATTTTTACAATTTTGGAGGTGAATCCGAAACTCAGAATTTTACCGGGCTTAAGGGCCATGTAAAATTTTGACAACTAATACAGGGTTTGTCCGGAAAGTAATAGGACGGAGTCGATTTAAAAGAATTTATTGAACCAATTGTTACAATTGTTTAAAAACTTTCAAAATAGGCTTGCCTCGATGCAGCGCTACCAACGCGATTTCCAAGCATTGAAGGCGTCACGGTATACAAATGAAGCTTGTTAATATTAGTTAAACTATAGACTTGCATTATGTCTGTTACAATACAAATGCAAATTGTTCGCTTTTAATTGCCTTTGCACCACTGCTGAGCAATTCTTGTTTTAAGAATCTTGTTCATAGTGCTGGATTATTGCCAAACAGATTGGATATATGAGCAGAGAAGTGTCCGACAAGCACTTCTCCCAAATAATATTTTGCGTTAATTTTTACTCCTTTGCCAATGAAAAGGAGATGAAGTTTAATTTTTGCAGATATTATGGCTTCGCAAACAATAAACGAGTTTGTGCTTTGATACGTTTCCATAGCTCTTTTATCAGCTGGAAACTCAGACATACTAGTTGCATAAATGCGGTCATTTTGTGAATTGTTTCTTGCTTGTAACACAAAAAGCTTTTTATCAAAATATACAACTTTCCTTTCAGAAATTGCACAATTTTTCCTTATTCGCTCAAGTGCAGTCATCAGTAGACTTGGGAGTTCTGACCGTCTAATTGTTACCAGGTTTTTGGATATTTTAAGGCTAACACTTTTATTAAATCGAGCCACAGTACTTTGAGCGAAACTCTTTGGCAAAATAAACATATGTAATATATAATAATATAATTCAGGAAATAAAATTAATAGAAAAAAAAATTATAGAAAAAAAGCTACTTTACTTTCGACCGTGACAGGACTCGAACCTGCAATCTTCGGATCCGAAGTCCGACGCCTTATCCATTAGGCCACACGGTCCACATTTCATTTACTGCACAAGGTTACATGTAAGTTCAATACACTTTATTTATCGATAACTTTTACTAAATAGGCTGCCAGATTATAAAGAATGACAAAAAAAACTTTTGACGTATTATTATCAGAGAAAATATATCATTATTTGCTTTATCTGTTATTATTACATTATTATTTAAAAAAAAAAAATACATGCCTTTGCATTCAAAAAATAACGATTTTAGTTTTCAAAGTGTAAATAAGGTTTCTATAAAATTTTGTAATTATAGAAAATAGATTGTTTTGTTACTGTTAAATAACTTTTCCAATCTCCCGCATTGTATATTATAGGCTGACATCTTTGATGGCAACCCGCAACTAAATGTTTAGCATATTCCCAAGGAAGCGACTTCCAGGTATGTTATAGTAGCCGATTCAAATCTTTTGTTGACCTTGAATGTTCCTTTTTTTTTTTTGATATTTTTGCTTACATTAAGCCCAAGCTTTCTCTTTTGAATTGGGATCTGGTGGCTGTTATGACCAATCTAAAGTAGAAATATAGTATTCTTGTTTTCAATGTTCCAAATCATTTTCTTCTCGCAGTATACACTTATGGTTAGTTTTTTATCATTGTGCTGGCGTTCAGGTTTCCATGAAGCACCTCAAAACAAAAAAATGGAAGCACCATTAAACATGCACCTTTTGGAGGTGCTTAACACGCCTTTTTACACGCCTATTATTGGTCAAACACGGCTCAAGGTATAGAACAATGTAAAAGTTAATATAATCCGTAAATATTATATTGTTCCAATCACGATTGATGTATTCCTGCGTCCTGTTTTTGAAAGAAGTGGTTTGATTCCAGTACAGTTGCACTTGATGACAGATCTCTGAAGTAAGTCCCATATTCATTAATAAAATACATTTTTCTCCTCCAAAGCAGAACAATAGCTTTTTCCTCACTTTTAGATGCCACATCATTCTTCCCTCATTCTGGCTTGTTATCTCCATAAAGATCAGACCATCTCTTCAGAAATGTGCACCTCGTATTTAAAAAACCGCGGTATTTTTAATAGCCGTTTTGGAACCTTTAGGATGTTTCGTTAGAAAGACTGCTCCAAATGTTTCTTTTACTGAGCATTAATATTTTTTATTTCAGGGCACGACGTGACACAAGAAGATCGAACAAACCTAACCGAATTGAGTAAAATTTCTTAATTTGCATAAAATAAAAACACTTTTTTGAACGAAAAGAATGTAAAACCAAAAGGCAAAACCATATTATTAAAAATGGGAATGAACATTTTAAGAAAAAAATTAAATTTTAAGTGTGCTTAAATCGGCTATTAATAGCGGCCACTTCTATTTACAACAGGATAACGACTCAAAACACCCATCTTATCTTGTACGTGCGTTAAAAATAACTTCATAGGTCCCGCAATCAAGATACATTAGTCCTATTCAAAATATCTGGAACTTTTTGGAAAATCGTATTCTAAAACAACGACATCGAAAATAAAATAAGGCCAAAATGTTAGATCATGGACTTAAATGGGTCAAAAAATCCGGAAATAATACTACAAATTGACTACGGAGCATTCATCGATGTCTAGGGAGAATAATTGCAAGAAAATGTAGACCAAAAACCGCTAAAGCTATTGTAATTACTTTTGATTTATATAAATAATCATTAGTGTACTTAAACTCTTGATATAAAATATCCCCATTTCAAGCTTTAGCATTAATTTTTCTTATATGTGTAAAAAAAAATATTTTGATTTGCTAAATTTAATATTTAATACACATCTTTTGAAATGGATAGAAAAAAACTACAAAATTTATTCATTTTATTACAAATAAACGTGTCGTAATTTAATAGAAGTATAGAACTGAGATTTCGAGTCACATAATAATCTAATTTCTTTCACCCTCTATAAAATAAATGACCAAACGCAACCAGCAATTGTTGTTGAGTGTTGTTTATTTCGTTTTAGTTTATTAGATTAGGTGTATTCCTTTATAAATTCAATTTAGGCCAAACTATATATTTTATTATTTGAAAAATCTGCTAAATTCTAGAAATTAATACCGCAGCAATTAATTCAATTACATTGTACATACATACATAACCTTAATTATTACGTGAATGCGCTTTGCAATGTGATAATACGTAAGTGTGTAAGTTTATAGCTGTCACTTCTTCATACCTAATTGTTCATAAGCTTAAAAGTAAAGCAACAGAAAAGTCATCATCGCATGGTGCATTGCATTTCCAATGGCGGTCGGTCCATTTGGTAATATAAATAAAATAGTTAATAAAATTAAATGGTATCTGATAAGTTTAAATTACATTCTAAAAATGCCAAGAATTTTATAAATTCTGAAATTCATCAACATAAAATTGGATACAATATTAGCTATCGCTGAATCCTCGGTATTTCTACGAATATAAAATTTCCCCATTCGAGATGTTTGTAATTTAATTTGTTTCTTTAAGAGAAAACATTATTAGGAGGACTCAGTGATTATTTTGCTTATACAATATTCATGTGAAAAAATATATTTACTCCAATTTCAATTGACAAAATAATAAGTTGAAAGCATTTTTGTGAACCAAAGTTTAAGGGGATTTAGCCAAAGCAATGATTGTAATCTGTTTTGCACCAGATATTTAGGAATTGATTTATTTTCGGTTATATGTTATTTGGTCAATATTTTATTAAATTAGTAAAAATTCAAATCATTATTTTTATTGTAAATATTGAATTTCTTTTAATTGAGTTTGTATGTAAGTAATAACAGAATTCACACGGCGTTTGTTTTCTATTTTTATCTCAATATTTACGGACTGTTTTCAGTGGCTATATTGGTACATATTATCGCCCCCAACTGCAATATTACGAAGATATATCCCTCTTCTCACTCTCTCTTCACTTTTAATTCGATGCCCGCCTAAACACAGATAGATATCATACGCATTTTGTTATTTCCAAGCAGAAAAAAGCTCGTGTGTGTTCTATATTTTCTGGCTTCCTAACGTATAGGCAGGACGACTTACATTCTATAAACACCCCCACCACAAAAGCAATAAGTTCTTGATTTATTTATTCCACATCCATGGTAGTATCATCCATTGGATTATGTGCTGTTTTATCGTTTTCTTTCTCCGCATTCTCACCATTCTGCTCGCCCGCTCCCGCTGAATTGGCATCTTTCGCAGGCGCTGGCTTCGCAGCTGGTTTTGGTTTAGGGCGATTAATAACCGAATTGACGCAAGCATTCAGCGTCTGTACTTCATGACGTATATCGGCAACTTTGACAGGACTGTCATGCATGCGTGGTGTTTGTGTAAATTTTGCCATATTACTATCTAGCCACTTCTGCGCTTTATCGGCTGCCTCAGAGATGTTCAAGAATTCGGCCTCTGTGAGGTGATCATACTTAGGAGCGCCCTTTTTGAACTCATTTATAGAAGCGCGCGCTACTTGGATGCTATGGTTAAGTTCGTCAAAAGCGGTTGGAGCATTCTCGTAATCATTAGCGCGTTCTTTGATAGGATCAGTTTGGATATGAAGTCCTTTCAATTTATTAACGTACGTATCACGATCACAATCTTCTCCCTCCTCATACAACCAGTTTTCGAGATCATTAAGTTGAGCGCAAATGGCTTCACGGTCTGCTTCCAAAACATAACGTTCAAGTGGACCTCCCTGAAAGAAATCATTGTTGAAGATTAATATTTACAAATATCAATATATACAAATGATGTGATACATCTTGTTATATTATTATTTAACTAATGTTCATGAGGAAGGATTTGATTGTCCAAGCAAGACGGCCTTTTGGAAAATGCGTGTTTGTGTGCTTGTTGAGTGACAGCAAATTTTACATACGAGATGGTATGAGAAACCTTATTAAGAGCTTGTGTAAAAACTGGAAATAATTGAACCGCAACCACGCCTACTCCCATATAACAAAAATTTGATACTCACATTTACCGTGTAGAAGTCAAGACGTAATTAATTAAAGGAATACAATTTTACATGTATAATACCTTATGTCTCCTTTGCAGTTCAAACCCCTAGGTTTCGAATATTTGGACCCCAGGACCTACAGTTGGCTTTTTACCTCAAATATCGGTTAATGAGTGAGATATATAATTAAAATTCAGGAATAATCCTTTCCTGACAATGATATGTCTATGTATCATACACCTAACGCAACGCTTTTCGAACTTCCAGGTGATTTTATACCGCATATAGAAAATAAGATAGCGTGTTTTTCGGATTAACAGTATATCTTTGTACCTAAAATGGAGAAAATTGGGCCACAACTTGACCTAGCCTCTATATAACAAAAATATAACATCCGAGTGACTTTATTCCACATGATGGATTGTGAAGGAAATTCAAATGTTTTTTATTTACTTTTTCCACTAAATCAAGTCGCACATAATGAATAGCACGTTCAATATTGACTTCTAAAGCTTGAAGAAAGTCTGGATTATTACAAGAAATAGTCTAAAAGTGTTAAATTACAACTTCTTGCAGGTCATTAAATGTCACAATTTCTTGAAATAATCGAATCTCTAAATTTATCTCGCAATAATTCGGTTGTGGTACTGTGTGGCACCGTAGCCCCGACTTGTTGGAACCACATATTGTCAAGGCCAACTTCTTTTAATTTTATCTTTCGTATTGGTTGGAACCCCCGATATATGTATGTATGTATATATATATTTGTATATATAACGCCAACAAGAGGATGGAAATCCAAGCAATTATGTCGTTTTGCGACTTTAAGTTATTTCCCTAGCTTTGATTCTTTCTAGTTCGGTTTTTGAACTTTTCCCTTTAGTTTTACTTCGTGACAACAATTTAATTGAACATTTTAAACGGTCACTAAGTAAGACATCAACGCGCTCCTTTTTGAAATTAATATAATTAACAATGTATGTATGTATCTTTAAAAACATAGCAAAACAGCATCAAATGTCAAAACCAATTGTAAATTACAACATCATTAATAGGTAAATGCTTACCTGAAGTTTGTTACGCATGTCGTACACATATTCCTCAAGGGCATTCCTAGCGTCAACGCGTTGGGTCTCCCGGGCGTCATTTGCAATCATTTTAGCCTCTTGTTGTACCAAGTTCTGCAAGTCTGGTGATGAGAAACCATGAGTCTTCACTTCCATTGGAAGCTCTATTAATTTAGTGCTCTTCTTTTTCTTGTCAGAGCCCTGAAAATAACAGAACAATGCACATTTATAACTTGCTGAGAATACAATTGTATTCTACAAAAATATAATTATATTTATAATTTTAAAATAAGACATCCTCATGTAAATGAATGCAAAGGAAGGAAACAGCTCATACAGCAACAGCCTATAGGAATTTTAAAACGTTAAAAAATTGCTTTAGAAATCAGTAAGCAAAACCCTGCCGTGATTTCTAGTTAAATAACAATAAAGTTGTGTTATAAATCTTTATTTTATAAAATTTTAATTAATAAAGATAAAACCAGGTACTAATTCAAATCAATTAAACTAACACGTAATTTTTCATACAAGTACGCAAATGTATATCGGTTTTAAATATAATTATAAATTGAGTAGTATGATGGTTTTAAAAGAAAATTATATATTATAGATAAATGTTAAAGTACATATACTTATATGGTAGTTTGGTTTAAATTCATTGTGTGAAATGCAAAACTATTGATATTTGGGGCACACAGGGTGTAGGCATGGCTTGTGAGCGGTCTTCTTTCTCAATTCAACAGATACATATGTATATATATGTAGTTAAATTCATATTAGATGTTTTTTGATTTTTAATAATCGATCAATGTTAATAAATACAATTTTAGAAGACTCATGAACTTTTTTAATTATTGTAATATTTACTTTGGTAATTGCTAGAAAACGTACCGAACTAAACCAGCCTTTGACCCGCTGAGCCCACCCTTGTCCTCCAGGTGATGAGGCTGTTGATGTATTATTATCTTCCTCATTTTCATAACATGCCTACGCAATTATATAAAACAACAAACAAATCAATCAAAATTGAATGAGTCAATTGTATACTGATGTAATAACTTCACCAACTCACTAGACTTGGGATAGTTTCTCTGGGACCAAACAAAACAATTTAAGCGAAAGAAGTAATAAAAAAAACAGGCAGATGGTTAAAGGACAGTTGCAATAAACTCATGAATAAGTGCAAGGAAGAAATGAAAAACAGATGGTAATGCTGCTAAACATATATATTATAAATACGTTTGTCAATTACATCCCTTCAAAAAGCAAACACCATAATTTACAGGAATAAATATTTTTTTTTTCCTTTGTGATACAACTATAGATTAAAAATTCTTGAATCTATTTAAGCAGAAAATATCTAAACTATTAATATAAATTAGAAAAACAATTGAAATGCACATTAACTTAAATATTCGCCTGTCTCTTAATTGTATGCCAATTAAACATATTTTCTAACAAAAATATAACTAAATAGAAATGGCGAATATTACCAATTATTTAGTATATCGGTCATTTGAAAACGCTCGCCGATTTTTAGTGAGTTAGAAGTCAAAGATCAGACCTTCCACCATTCTCATTTGCTTTTTTGATCAATCTCCGAAAATTGTTGATGTTTAAGTTCTTATTTTTAATGGCTATGCCATCGTATCAATAAAAATGTTTCTAATGTTTTTATGTCAAATTGGGCTTTTTCGGAAATGCAGTTAAAACTGGCAACACTGCGCAGTTTGCACTGCTGATTTTACCATGGCTGAGATGGCACGAAACTGCGCATTTGAAAATTTGCATTTGCAAACATAAAAATACGCGAAATATATCCACGTATTTGTAGAACCATTCTGATGTTTTCATTGGGCCTTTTTATTTTGAAAGTGATGCATTAAAGTCAAATGGCATGTTCAAAAATTTGGCGTAATATCTCTTTCTACTATAACAATAAATTTAAAAAAAAAGAAAAATCCACAAAGTATAATAAAATTATTTAACTTAATTTTACATTTTAGCTAGCAATGACATTTTACTTAGCATAGATGGTTTTGTTGACAATTTCTGTGCAACTACTTTTCATATGTTGCAAGTTTTGTGCGTTTTTGCGCAACAGCTACGACAGTGATATCGAACTTTCAATTATAGCAAAAATGGCAGGTTTGCTTTTTCGAACGGATTGTATAATACACACTGCGCGGTTTGCGTTACCGAAAACGCCCATTGTTTTCCCACATTCCTCTTCCAATACAAATATGAACTGCCCCAATTCTTTTTTTTTGGATTACTGTTAATATTTGTAAGTATTTTTAATTCGTCGCGTTTAATAAACTTCGATGTTGTGCCTCCTGAATTCTTTAATTATAAATAATTTTCCTGTTCAGTGTTCTGAAAAGAATTCAGATATGAATGCATATGTCGTTGTTGTTCTATGTTATCTAATCCCAGCTTAGGTGGCAAGATTCGAGTTGGTCGTCATCGAAGTTATCTAACGGTAGGCCCAGAAAACATGCTGTTTCGGAGGGGTCGGACCAGAGGGTGTTAGATGAGTGGAGTTCATGCAAGCAAAGAGATGATTAGTTATGACTCATGCATGCTGGACCGTATATCTGCCTTCGTGGTGGTTAAAACAAACCAATTGAATGAATTTTTCCTCAACTTGCTGCTCCAAGCATATTAAAAAAGAAAACTATTTTCTTGGTGGTGCACATTGCACAGAATGAAAACAATTTCGCCATTCATAAGAACAAAAATTTCGACTAGATTGTCTCGCCTCCCTTGTCAACTACTAGTGTTACAACAAACTATTCCACTTAATGTACACATATAGTACATATGTACATATCGACACCTGAAATGCAAAATAATGTATCATCAAAAAATTCTAAATTGAGTGTGTTATTAATTACGCTTCACTACTTCAAATTATATATGTTCAACGTTTTTAAAATTAAAATTTTTTTTCACTCATGTTCCATTTTATTTCGTGTTTCATTCATGCCACTGCAAATTTCCGAAAATGTTGTTACGTTATTTTGCATTTCAGTTGACGATATACTTTGTTTTTGCAGTTTTTGTTTTAAGTTAAAAAAATGTTTGCCTTAAATAAATTGAACTAAAAGCACCTTCCTAAGCGGAAAATAATTTCAATAGTATTTTGCAATTTGTTAAGAATTATTAAAAAAAAACAGGTCTGTTCATAATATAACATAACATTTTAACGATATTTTTATTTTGTTATGTTAGTACACTTCATTTACTTCAGCAATAGCGGCACAAATACCACAATTGGCACAAAAGTAAACCTAACGGTGTCAATATGTCAATAAAATTTCTTGGGTAGGTAGATAAGTGTAATATAAATTAATATATTGAAAAAAATTGATTTTAAAAATTTTTGGATTGTGGCTCTTTTGTTAGTTTGCGATACGTTCGAGACGCGTGAAACAAAACAAAAAAAAATAAATAAAAACCGATATCGAATGTAGCCCGCGAAATTTGAAAATTCACCTTATTTTTTTAACAGACCTCATACATACATCTACGGACAGAGATTTAACGCACTTTCTTATTGTGAAATACAATACTTAATAACGTTACAGTTAAAGAAAGTAAATGCGTTATATTGTACATTTTACATATTTCTATTTATTACTTCACTAACAACTAAAATAATTCAAAATAATTACTTTCTTTTAATAAATATACAATGTTTGGTTCAGTTTACATTATTAGATCAATACTTGACTTGAACAAGTATTTAGCTTCATGCTTCCTTCACTCCTCGTTGCAATTTGAAAATTTTTTTTGCCAATTTTTCCTTTGACTTCATTCCACAAGTTTTGATCGGATTTAGATTTGGACTTTGCGCCGGCCAATCAACAAGTGAAACTTTTTTTTTTGGGTAAGCCAGTTTTCTAATATTCTAGGCATCGTTATCGTGCATAAATCCAATCTGCTGGCATAACATTATAGGTAAAGGGCTTCATCGTATTCCTTAGTATATTAGGATATGCAAATTTATCCGTATTCTCTTCTACGTTGTTGTTGTTGTAACGGCAGAATTCGGCCGAGTTGACAGTCCTTGGCCGGATAAAAATCCGGGTCCGTTCCGGCTTTCGTAGACCCGACTGTTGTGGGAACGGCATTCTCTTCTATCTTTAGTAGTGGTCTAAGCCCAAGCCAGAAAACGACCCCAAACTTTTAAATTTCCTCCACCGTATTTTACGGTCTTTTTGGTATATCTTGGATTGACTTTTTGGGTTTTCTCTTGATGTACAAAAGTTTACCATCAGGACCAATGTGGTTTATTTGAATTTCATACGTAAAAAAGTATCATTTTCCAAAAATTAAAATATTTTGATCTGTGACAAATGACCAACCGTACTTTAATATTCTTTTCGGACAGTATTGGTTTGTTTATGCTCACACGCCCAAGGAAAACAAATTATGTTTTGAGATAACAGATTGGCGTCATTCTTAACATTTTCATGTAATGTTAATTGAGTACAATTTTTCTGGAACATTTCACTATTTAAGCTATTTTTACTTGGTTTGTACCGTTTATGTAAATTTTTTTAAAATAAACAATATTTTTCTTTTGCATTTTAATTAAAATTAACTATTGATTACAACTACACAACTGAGAGCGGTTATTTGTTAAATCATTAACAACTAATGATCGAAAACTATAAGTGCGCTAAATCATTGTCCAGTTTATTAACGAAAATATATGTATTAGCAACATATGAATGGAAATGATAACGGTTATTTTTCCACGCATTAAAAAGGCGTGAGAAGCAGTATTGATCTCTTAATAACAAATTTATCGAAATATCGCTCTCTTGTAGTGACAGCAATATTTCTAATTATGAATGCAAGTGCGCTAAATCTCTGTCCATAACTGTATGTATGTATATCTACAATAAATGCATGCACGAATGTACACTCTAGGAAAACTACTACTAAAATATCTACAACAAAGAGAGTATAAAAAAATCGTAATAAATTCATATATGTACATATATAGAATTACCTCTGTACTAATCAATATTTGTGCCTTTATTTTAAATATCGCCTTCATATTCGACAACAATAATCATTTTATCTCAATATGTATCAACGGGAAATGTTTACGTACTTGTTTGTTTTTTTTACAAATACCAAAGAGTCGGAAATGTATACAGGGTTTGTCCGGAAAGTAATAGGACTGAGTCGATTGAAAAAAATGTATTGAACCAATCGTTACAATTGTTTAAAAACTTTCAAAATAGGCTCCTTCTGCGTCGATGTAGCGCTACCAGAGCAATTTCCAAGCACTGAAGGCATCACGGAAGATATTCTCCGGAATAGCCTTGAGAGCCGACGTGCATGCTGCATGGATCACCTCTGTCATCTCAAAATGCTTGCCTTTCATCGGCCTTTTCAGGCAAGGAAACAAAAAAAGTCCGAGCAAGCCACATCTTCAATCACGACATCATTATTTAAATATTGGGGATCACTTTCACACTTGCTTAAATTTTCTTGGCACACTTCCACTCGCCGCAACTTCTGATCGCCAGTAAGCACTTTTGGGATCATCGCAAATCTCCTAGCACGGTCTTCATAACGACTTCGTTCCGGCCCTCCAAAAAGGACTGGTGCCACCGAAACACACTTCGTCTTGCTAAAGCAACATCTGGGTAAGCTTGCTTGATCATACCAAACGTTTCTGTCGCAGATTTACCAAGTTTCACACGGAATTTATTCGCATCCCTCTCCTCTAACGAACGCTGCATTTCCGGCTTGCAACACTCACAGCGGCACGTCGCGTTAAAATGTTTGTCCTGACTCTCCAGATGCTCGGAGACAACTGACCAGCCGCTCGTTCTTTAGCTAGGAATGTCCTCTACCGAATCCAGTCGGTGGGCGCAGTCCTATTACTTTACGGGAAATTATATATATATATATATATATGTACATATATTATATATATATATATACAAACATAATTCGAGTCTTCGAATTAAAAAAAAAACTGTTGATAAAACTATCCAGAGAACTTCAAATACAGGAAGGCGCGCGAACCGTGCTATAGAAAAAACGTAATAACTTGTTTGCTTTGTAAGTAATTGACTTACTTTTTTATTTGCCAGGTTTTTATTTATATTTTTTAGAACTGAATGCTTGGGATAACGAAAATACACTCCCCCGATTAGATGAACCGTTATGAAGTTGATAGACATGTTTACCGAATCTGGAAGTATCGCAAGAAGACCCTACCATCGAGGTCCGTATATTCGTATTCAAGGAACAATCGCGGCTGTTGCATCGTCAATTCAGGCAAATCTAAGAGTTTCGACTCGTAACTCTTAGGCGCAACTTGAAATAAGCAGACGGTCATTACAACGGACTTTACCTAAATCTGTTTCCGTATAAAGTTCAAATAACTAGCCGGTGAAACACTCAACATTTGCCTATTCTCTTGGAATTTTGCTAAAAAAACGATTGAAATGGCCGATAAAGGCAATAACTTGATAAATTGTCTGTTTATGTCTGATGAGACCCATTTTGATCTAAAATGAAGTGTGAGCTAGCAACATTACCGTATATGGAGTGAATTAAATCCAGAAATAATCCACGAGACAGGACTTCATCCAAAATGAGTCAATGTGTGATAGGCAGTGTTATCAAGTTGTATTGTCGAGCCATACTCTTTGAACAAAACGGTGTAACAGTAAATGTCAATAGGCACCGTTATTTAAAGATGTTGAATGAGTTCTTTTATATAGAACTCCCTTTCAATAGCATTTAGTTTCAGCAAGATGGAGCAACTGTACACATAGCCAGACTGACTATTGCAGAGCTCCAAAGACAATTTGAAAACAAATTAATATCAAGAAACTGCACTTTCCGCTGGACTGACCTGGCTCCACCGTAATTTTTTATTGGATAATTTTAAATGGAATGCATTCATTAGAAAAAATTATTGCGGTTTGATTTTTAAGCACGATTTCTGCGCCACCTGTATTCAAGCAATCAGTGAAGGCTTCATATTAAAGATATTCAAGTCTCCCCGCTTATATAACGTACTATACATACCTCTACTATAAATATTTTATGATTAGCTATATATGGCGCCTAATAGTTTTTTCGTCAATGGTTAATTTAGAGCTGTGCTTGTTATAAAATATTCGATTTGTTGATTGATTTTGATTGAAATATTGAATTGCAACAACCTACTACTAGGAAACTAATCAGACATGGTGGTGGTTTTTATCGTTAAAAGCACAACAAAATTACAGTTAAATACAAAAACTCGGTAAGCAAGGAAATGCATATCCTATTCCATGTATTCAAATGAATAACAAATAAATATACACAAATAAATAATGCTTATTTTACAACACTTGAACTCACCTCTTGCTGTACATCCATAGGTTCACCACCGTTACCAGTTTGCTGTTGTTGATCGCCAGCATTTCCCTTTTCTTCACTGCTAGGTGCTAAATTTTGCTCGCCGGCAGTAACTCCAGCATTGGCAGTTTCTTCTTCTTTCTTGTCAACAAGAGAAGCACTAGAAATCAATACCAGACCGTGGTGATTAATGCGGACTTTCACTTTAACTTCCTGATGCTCTCCACGTTCATTTGGTTTAACATCTTTAATAAACCATTTTCCTATAACTGGATCTGGGAAGGGTATAGATTGTGCATATTGCACAGTCATTGAGAAGGGATCTTTTCGGTTCAATGTTAGTAAGCGACTGAACGGAGCGGAATGAAAAGCTGGGAATACTTCGATTTCGCCGCCGGCTTGAGAACCCTCACCATCCCAACTCACTTTAACAGCGTAATTTTGGATATCAGTTACACCAAATTCGCGGACTCTAACTGCTGGTGACATGATTGCACATTGCAATGCGGCACCGCGTGAAACCGACTCATCCTGATTCAATGTGGTACTAGCAGGTTTTCCGAATACCTAAACATTGATTAATGTATTAATAAGTAACTTTTGAATATCAAAAAATTGTAAGCTTCATATGAGCTATGTTTCTTACCTGTTCAATAATTTGCTTTATGGCCGGGATACGAGTAGTACCACCGACAACTTCAACTGAGTGTATGTCATCCAGCGACAACTTGGAATCTTGTAACAGTTTAATGAACGTCATCTCTACTCGTTTAAACAAATGAGAGCTTAAATCCTCCATCTGGGAACGTTGCATTGACGAAGAAACATCAACATCATCCATAAAACATTCTATATTTATAGGCAATTTTGTACTGTTCGCAGACATTTGCTTCTTCAATTTCTCAATTTCAGTAAGTAAACGTAGATAAGCACGAGGATTTGCCTTGGCATTCAGCTTATAACGATCGTAAAACTCTTTGGCAAAATGTTCTGCCAACACATTGTCAAAGTCGCGTCCCCCAATCTGATCCCATGCACTTGCCAGCATTTTCAATTTACCTTTAGTAAAGGCGCACACACTTACTTGAAGTGAAGAATTGCCACAATCGACGAATACAACATTGCGTGGTTTACTTTCGTCAGGCAAGTCTTGCTTATAAAAACCATATGAGAGCGCAGTTGCTGTCGTTTCGTTCATAAGGCGCAAAACATTTAGACCTGCAATTTGAGCAGCATCTAACAATGCTTTACGTTCCGAGTTAGTGAAGTATGCTGGGCAAGTGATTACACAGTCATTAACCTAATTTCAATTAATAAATCCTCGAAGATGAAATTGAAAACTTTATATAAAAGAGAACCATAACATACCTGTGCCTGCAGAGCAATTGTCGATGTTTCCTTCAATTTGGTGAATAACATTGCTGTCAGTTGTTCGGGGGAAAAGTACTGTTCCTGATCCAAGTAGTTAACTTTGTAGCCAATGCTGCCATCAGTACGTTGATCCACTTTCGTTGGAATGCTGTTAAGTTCTCGTTGAACGTGTGGATCGTTGAATTTACGGCCCAACAAACGCTTGAAACCACTCACTGTATTTTTCATATTTGTGACTTGTTGATTTTTGGCAGCCACGCCAATTATGCGCTTCTTTCCATCGAAAGCGACAAAGGTACTGAAAAAATTAAAGCGATTTAAAGTAAAATGTATATTAAATAATGTGCCCAAATAATACGTACACCGATAATTAATATATATTTTATCTGGTATGTCTCTTAAATAGTTAAGCATTAAGATTATTTTATTTAACCCAGTGAGCAATATATTTATATACCTACCACTTACAAAAAAAAGAGTAGTTTTAACATCAAAATTATAATTTTTTTTTGCTGTAAAAGTTATTATAATCTAACATTTAATTAGAAATTAAGGCATACAGGTTTATTTTATAAGAAAAAACTGGCTAAAATTGACGCCAGCTCATATCTTTTAATGTGTAATTAAAAAATTACTCAACGCTCACCATCCCCAAAGCAGTCGCGTCTATATAACCGGAAAGTACTTGGATTTTTTATCCGGACAACAACTGTCAACTGAAATTTAAAATAGCGTATCCCGAATACAGAGTTAAAATGAGAGTATTATATATTAGCGTTCATTATTAATCAATGCTAAAATCTCAAAAATCATAAGTCAACGACAACTATATATAATATATGTATATATTTTTCTTATCTGGCAAACTTCCTTTAAATCCCAGCCCGGTTCTGGTGCAAAAATAAATTTTGACATAAGACGTTTTATTTAACGTTTATTTTTTCAGATATTACTGTATTAAAAAAGTAGTCAACCAATATTGTTACTTTAAATACAAATATTACAACATTCATTGTCCGACTTATTTTTCTTCTAAGCAATTATACATACATATGTATGTTGGCTTATGTATATTATTTTTCGTCGTAGACAGAGTACAGCGACTATAAGAGACTACCATAACCTCAAAATTTATAACTTAAACATGCATTTATTTAGCACTATAAGATGTTCCTTAATTTTACAAGAAAATAATTATTATACTTACGGCGTTGCACGTAAACTATAGTCATTAGCAAGGGTTTCAATACCACCGGCCTTGGCGGCAGCAACATAGCAAGACTCATTGCCAAAATCGATTCCAATCACAGACATTTCTTCAATACGTTATTTCAGATACCTCAATTACTTTTTAATAACTTCTATTCAAGTGTAGTATAATCAGCACCGTCGTTAAAAATGTGTTGCCCTTTCGTTCCTTTGAAAGATTTACTGCTAGTTTTCCTTTCAGCACAATGAGTCACAAATTCTATAATTTTTGACAATAGAAGAAAAATCATAGGAAAACTGTCATTTTCTTTAAGTTTTTATTTAAAAGTAAATACAAAATAACTAGAGAAACGATTGAATATTTACGACTTTTTCTTTCCAGAAGTTTCAAACCAATTTCGACAAGCCTAATTCTCATCCACCACCACGCGACTCAACACTTTGAACTAATAACTCGCCCCAAACCGAACATGTGGATAACGAAACGAAAAGTTTGCTCCGGACTAAAAGCTTCCCCCCCCTCCACTATTCAACTACATTATACTATAATTGTTACTAACCTATTAGATTAATATATACTTGTATCTAATTGTAATATTAAATCACCTCTCTGATGTACTTTATTAGTTTATTTATATATTATGGAAAATTAATGTTTACAATACTAAGAATTAAATCTACAGTGCTACTAATTTTGATTAACTACAGCTTCACAGTGTTCGGTATATATTTGTTCCCATTCATTTATATCTTTGCTCTTTAGCCCATCTTTAACTTCTTGCACAGTTCACATTTTCAAATCAAATAAAAATTATTTTTCTTTTCATAGATATAATCATTTAAAATACCTGTTCATGAATATGTTTTTTTACTATATTAAAAAATGTACGTGTTCTTTCAATGAAATTCTATTTACCACGATATAACTTTTCTTCGGCGTGTTTTATTGAGTACTAAATGCAAGTTTTCACCTTCTCTTTTTATTGTCGTTCGATACTGGAAATTTCCTAAAGGTTATTTTCGTTCTAGAAATTTATAGAAGCACTGTAGATGTCGCTGCCAAAAGATTACAGATTTTAAATTATAATAGATTCGTCTTAAAATTTTCAATAAGTTTCATAGTTTAACCTCTACTTGTACACAATTAACAGTACCATTTAGCAATTAACTAAGCCAAATTACATGGTAAGTCATTATTTATTTAATAGATTGATGTAAAATTATCTAAGCAACTCTGTGAAGTGTGTTCAATGAGAGAAAAGTACCAGCTAGGGTTAGCAATCTGTGAAATACTTTGCTATTGAGGTTGGCAATGTTTTTGTATGGGCATTTGATAACATGAAATAATCAGTTTCGAAATGGCGTCTGGTAGGTATGTTCTAGTAGATATACAGTGTCGAACAAAACATATTGGACTCCTACCAACGAATTACATTATCATCTCCTATTCTCGCAATTATCATTTCAAATATAAACAAATCACTCGGATTTGAAAAATAACTATTTATTTTATGAAAACATGCAAAATCGTAGAAATTATTTGACTCCATGCCATTTTATTGGAAAAAATTAAACATATTCAAAATTCAGTACGACAAAATTTATTGGAGTAATGTTTGGATTGTTATTTAATAGTTTATAGCATAACTATAATTTTGTATTACTTCACTGCATCTATTTGTCATAACGGCTATACTATTGTTAATAACTACTTGTGAATACTTAACAAGACTTGTTTTGCAGCTTCGGACAATTTGTTTTCCTTCTTTGTCTATTTGTTATATATTAAAGATTCTTAATGAAATTGAGATCCTGCGATTGAGCTTGCCATTTTAGGTCATTCATATTTTAAGCTACGAACCGATTTGCCACTGGTTCGACGTGTGCTTTGGGTCATGCTGAAACGACCATAAAAGGAAGCGTCACGTACTCAAGGATGTCCTTGTATATGCATCTATCCAATTGATTCGATGAAGACGTTCAAGGCCAAGCCCTGAAGAACATCAATATACCATGCCACCTTCACCATGCTTAACATTACCTTGGCAGTGTCGGGGATATGACCTCTTATTTTTTGGTTGACGAACTTTTCTCATTCCATCTGAATATTTCAAATGAAATTTTAATTCATAAGAGAAAAAGTATTATTTTCCATCGTTTTACTAACCAGTGTATGTGCAAATTGTTAATGGTTTAGTCGTTTTTTGCTTGATATAAAACACTTTCTAACTGCCTTATAATATGTAAGCCCACCTGCAGACGTTCTTCTTTGTACAGTACGGCTGATAACTTTCAAATATAAGGCCTTAAACATGGTCGCTGCCGACTTATCTGAAAACTATTTTAATTCTCTAAATTTCTTTATAATAAAGCTCACTGTTGATTGGTTGACATAAAATGTGTTACAAATGTCTTCTTGTGATAAGTCATTCCTATTTATTTTTTACTATTAATTGTTTTAATAGAATTTAATTTGTGTTTCCAGCCATGGTCCCTTTTTTATTAATTTCTTCGAAATAAGTGGAATTTTAATCGCGTCACAACTTTTAATCTAAAGAAACTTGGTTATACTAAAATGATGATGATTTTTGCCCGACACTGTATGGGCTGTGATCTCTAGAAGCATTTAAAATTTTACGACGATGATAAAAAATTGAATGAACCTTTTCTACAAACGCATTTCTTAAACAAAAAAAAAAAAACAAATTTCATACCAATTAAATTTATATAGTTAATATGAGCAATGATATTTACATATACTATTAACTATTATTATAATATTAATCATACATATATATACATACGTATGTGTTTATATATTCTTTTGTTAAAATTTATGTTTTGAATATTATTTTCATGTACATGTTGCCTGATCCAAAAAGGCGATACATTGCTAGCAATGAATGGCATGAAATATATTTAGAAATCAATTGCTAAACATTAGTAATGCGCAGTCTCCTTTGGCAATATGTTATGGGGCATCTCGACAGGCAAAAGTGTATGGAATACTAGGTTTATTGCTGTACGAATTGCCTGTGGACATTCCATATTACTTATGTAATACAATAGGGGTATTCGCATGCTTTTGCAGGATTGCAGATTGCAAAAATACAATACCGAAATATACAAGGGCACGAGAGCACCCATTGCAGAATCTATTGATATATGAACGGCTGATTTGCTCAATTTATTGTGAAAGACTATTAGACATGGCTCTTTTGAATTGGCGCACCTTCTGTATACATTTTTAACAAAAAAAAAACTGTAACAAATATTTATAATTTAAGTAGAAATTATAAAATCTATTTAAAAGATTGACATTGGTCTGACATATTTTACAGACATTGCAAATAATTTTCTGCGTGTGTTTTTGCCGGTGCACCAAGAGTAAATATATGCAATTCTTGCACCGTGCAAGAGTTTTACAAGAGCAAGCGAACTCCCCTAATATATGGCATAAAAAATTTTATGCAAACTATTTCATGCAAAGAATTGTCACTTCAACAGGTTGACAGATCAGTCTTCTTTTATTTTTGTTTATTTATGAATTTCACAAAGTCCTTTCAACGTTTCAACGTCAAATTTATGATATTATAAAACATTAATGAATTAATAACATTTATTATTTTAAATAAAATTATATTGCAATTCAATTGTTTGATACAAAAGATATACATATGAAAACATTGTAAAATTTTTATATATATTAAAAATTAAACGCCTTTTTTGCACGGAAAGATGTGAAAATGTATTGTATGTATGTATGTACGTGTACTCCTTTAGTTCTGAAGAAGGTCCTAAAAACAACCTGTTAACTATCAGGTCACAAATTTTAATCAATATTTTGAGACAAATGCTAGAGACTGTTTGGTGACCTGGATTTTATCTAGCCAAGGGCTGTTTTTTCGGCGATTTAACCACGTTTGTATATGTAAGTGTTAATCTTTGTTTGTCGTCATTAGAGTAAAGCCTTGCAGCAGGGTTGCTCCGTATCCTCGGAGCCATCTTAAGACCTGTTCATGCCTGTAATAGCCCGCCCGATAATACCCCTGCTAATGGTGGTCTGATAAATAGCATAACCTGGCGACCTATGCTAATTCTCTCATCAGGCCATTTGCCCATAATTATCTCGATCGAGAAACCTCTCGATTTTGTTTCTGTGGACAACCACTCCTTCGTTAACTTTAACAAAGCTATCTGGGTCGGCTTCACAGACTTTACTGAGAGCACCTTCAACGCTCTACCCATTCCTACAGACGTATGCGTTGTTTGATACAAAAGATATCGCAGCAGCTACCTCTCGCATCATCCCGGCTGGTATAATAGTGGAAATCCGCCCTAATTTCCCATCCCAAGCAGACGTTTTAGCTAATGAGCGGGACACCTTACGCCATGCCGATCCCGAGGATCCCCGAATAAGGTATCTCAATTTGGAGATTCGGCGATTGGTAAACCATCATAAGCGGACGAAACGGATAGAGCACCTGAAGTCCTGCAACCTCTTCACCGTTGTGAGTAAGCTTTGGGCTACTGTCAAGGCTTTGTCTAACCCGAAGAGACATGACGACGGAGATGAAGTTCAATTCAATGGTCATGCCTCTTCTGACATGAAGAAGTGCGCGAACTATTATATTTTAGCCGACAATTTACGCTGCACCCTTCGTTAGACAAAACCAAGCGATGTGTTAACCGACGGCTGCGCAAAATGTCGAAAAGCTTTCACTGACGAGGAGGTTCAGAATGTAATCAACAAATCTTCCAAATCCATTGACCCTGATGGAATCAACATGCTTATGCTAAAGCGTCTAGGCTCGACGGGAGTAAGCTATCTTACCAAGGTCCTCAACCTGTCGCTGACCACTCTTCAAATACCCGATGTGTGGGAAGTCGGAAGAGTGGTCCCACTACTCAAACCTGGGAAACCCGGCAACAAAGGGGAGTCCTATCGTCCGCTAACTCTCCTCTCCTCAGTGGTGAAGACACTTGAGGCCTTCCTACTCCCGACCTTCACTCATCACCTGAGCCTAGCCATCCACCAGCATGGATGCCGAAAAGTGCACAGTACCACCACGTCATAAACGCAGAGATAGTTCGCAGCCTTAACCAGAAACCACCCTGTGAGAGAACGATATTCGTAGCGTTGGACTTATCAAAAACTTTTAATACTACCTGAGCGGTCGACAATCATCCGTACTATTTCGAAGTTAAACATCTAAACTTATAAGAATTAAACAGGTGGTTCCGCAGGGTAGTGTCCTCTTCTCGCTACTGTTTATCTTCTACAACTCGAAACTGCCACAGCCACCAGAGGTTTCCATAACCTCGTACGCACGATATTTACGTCGGGTAATGGAATCGATGGCAGGAGTTCAAAAGTAAAAAATACCTCTCCGATCTTTCTCATTTCCTCACTGCACGGAACCTAACACTTTCCTCCACCAAATCCACTGCGACAATATTTACGAAATGGACGAAGGAGTTTAGACTTGTGCTTAATATTGCAGTCGATGGCGTCAAAATTCCTGCTGTCAATAACCCTAAGATTTTAGGCGTAACCTTCGATAGTCTATGCTCCTTCTCTCCCCATACGACCGCGATTATTGCAAAGTACAGAGCCGCAACAAGATCCTCAAGCTGCTAGCCGGCAGCACATGGGGAAAAGACAAAGAAACGTTGTTGGCAACTGTTGGAATGCAGATGAGGAAACTTCAGAACTGCCAGAATACTGCACTCCAGAACACGACGGGATGCCTTTTGATGTCTCCAATAGAACACCTCCACAGTGAGACGCTTATGCTTCCTGTAAAGAAGCATAATGAACTCATCTCCAAGCAGTTCTATCTGCTTAGAGCGGAACCGCCTCTTAGGAACATCAAGAGGTCTTTCCTTAACTACGTCGATGACATCGAACAGTACGTCCATCGGACTTTGGGCGCCACTAACCTCCGACAGGCACTGACCGCCATCCATAGTGGAGCTATCAACACCTTCATCAACTACCTTCCAGTGAATGGCGTTTTTTGAGACAAACCACCACCCATCGCAGCCGAAGAGCTTGAGTTGCCGAGAGTGACCCTAGCGCAGCTTCGTTCTGGATACTGTAGCAAGTTAAACTCCTACTTATCCAGAATAGACCCAGACATATCCAATATATGTCCTGCATGCAATGTGTCTCCGCATGACTGTAGCCACTTCTTTGCTTACCCTGCCAACCCCACTCGTCTAACACCCCTTTGCCTTTGGTCGAAACAGCACGTTCCCTGGGCCTCTCGCTAGATGACGTCGGCAACAGCCTGGATACCCCTTACCATCCTAACCAGGATTGATATACCGTTAAAATAACAACAACACTGTTTAGTGAATAGTAACAAGTCACAAATTGAGGCTTTACCTGTAAATTTCTCAAATAGTGACAAGAGCTTGCTTACAGAATCGCGCTATAAGGCTGTTAATTTTAACAGTCGTTTAGGGTAGCTTTGTTAATTGAAAGTTAGCAATTTTATGAAAATTGTTGGCAAATCTAGTTAGGCCATAAGTCAACGATGGTCAAAATAAACTATCGATAGTTCCTTCGATTATTTTGCAGCTCTATAATCTAAACAACAAACACGTGAAAATTAATATAGAAAGATTGTAAAATTAATAAAATAAATATGTTTCGAATGCCACCACAAATCGATGCTGCTGAGGAGAAAAAACGAACCCAAGCAGATGTGCGTAACAATTTTGTTTTTTTTACAGTATTATGTGCTGCTATCCGAATTGGTACGTAAATTTAATATTAATGCGTTTTATGTAATTTCATTAAATATAATATGTTTATCGCTGCAGCTCCTTTTGTCTTAGGTAAAATAAGAGCATAACGTTTCTTTCGAAGAAATATGGTTTTGGAACATCAAGGACATTTATATTTGTCGTTTAAGGAATGAAATCTGCTAAATCGAGACGTTATCATAATAAATCTTAATGTTAGATCAATAAATAATTTTGTCGAAAAGTTGTCATGACTCGTTGCCTCTGCATTTTTCAAATAAATTCCGTAACGACATTCAATGTAAAATATTTAATCCTGCGAAACCTGAAAGAGAAAATTGTGCAAAAAGAATTAGATGTTTATCAGATACGTTAATTACACATTAAGGACTTATGTGTTTTGTTGTTGTAGTGGTTATATAGAAATTATGCTGTAAAACTAGTCTAACAGGGAGCCCAAGAAACGTGCTGTTATTTTAGCGGCAGAACACATTCCTGACGTAATTTACAATAAAAAGAATTCAACAACTATTGAATTTCAATTATTTTTCCACTATTCGTTATGAAATAAATATATAGCGTGATGGGTTAGTGGATATAAATGTTAAATGTATATGAATGTAAGTATGTATATTATTCAATACAAATCAAAGAAATACGCACTGAAATATTTGAAATTACTGGTAAATTTTAGAAAGCATCCCCCGATTTCGGGATTAAAATGGGTATATACGGATAGAGGAGGTCCTTTAGATCAAAAAAATATATGTTTTTATACGCTTTCAACATTTTTCTTCAGAGTATAATATTTTTGATCACGTATTGTGTGCGTATAAGCGGGATAGATATTGGGTTGTATAGTATATACATAAATGAGGAGTTGAAATCCGGCTGGTTGTCTGTCTGTCCATCCATGCGTGCAAGCGCTAGCTTGAGTAAAAATTAAGATATGTATATTAATAGTACACATGTTACTTGACAAAAAAGTAACTCCCACTTGCGTAGATGGGTGTAATCGGACCATTGCCACACCCACAAAATGTCATTAAGTGAAAGCCAATAAAGTGTCATAACTAAGTACTATAATAAAATATAGAGCTGTACTTTGGAATAGTTGGTACCAGAAGCAAAGCGTATTGGCGCCAATTGGATATTCCAAGTCTAGCCAGATTATTCTCCACCTGCTCTTTCCAACGGAGTGGAGGACTTAATCATCTTCGGTTTCCCTGCCGGGTACTGCGTCGAATACTTTCAGAGATAGAGCGTTTTCATCCCTTCAGACTACGCTGTCTTTTAATTCGCTGAAATATGTATGTCAATGTTTTCATAAGACCTGTACAGCTCAGCCATCCATTTCATTCCATCGAATGCGGTATTCGCTGCTGCCAATGCGTAAAGGACAATAAATCTTCAGCAGAACCTTTCGCTCGAAAATTTGTAACGTCGACTCATCAGATGATGTCTCTGCACCATATAACAGGACGGGAATAATGAGTGACTTACAGCGTTAGGTCTTTTTACGTTGAGAGAGAACTTTACTTGCCTATTTGCTCCGCTTCCTTATCTAGTCGGGAGAATGCAAAACAAACGGCGCAAATGTTGAAGCCAATGATATCAAAATGGCCGGCGTATGCCAGCAGCTGTACCTCCTAAAAGCCGCGATTGTCCCTTCTCGTTTCAGCTCTGCAGATCGAAATATTTTCTCCAGCAGAAGATTGAAGAAGTCTCAACGTCAGTTTTGGCGCATGGTGAGTATCTGGTCTGTTGTTGATTTTCCAGGCTTGAAGCCATACTGATAAAGTTCAATCACTTCGTTGACGGTGGACTTTAATCTTTCACACAATACTCTCGATAGAACTTTGTATGCGTCGCGACGTATTGTGGTCGATTGTAAAGTTGTGAGGTTGACAGTCTGTTTTCTCTCCACTGTGACAAGGTACTCCTCATCATACCAGCTGCTCTTTTGCCTTTTCCGAAAATCGATGGTTTCGACTTCAGCTGTACGTAAGCTGTACGCTTGAAATGCCGTCCCACCGACAGATTGCTGATAAGTGTTCTCAGAAAGCGGAAGTGGAAGTCGGGTAGAAAATCGTTCAGCTATCTGTTGTGATTGCAGCTTCTCGACGTCGAAAATTCCTTGTTTTTGTTGACATCCGTTTTTGTTGCACAGAGGTGGATACGTATTGTAGCAGCAAAAAGATAGAGTTATTCGGAGCGTAGGCACATCTTAAGCACTGGCGACATGTCTTCCGTCTATCACAACGTGATCGATCTAGTAGGTAACTTTTCGATCCAGCCAGGTAGCTTGATGAATTTTTGTGTGTTGGAATATGTACCACAAATAACCAAATTTCGGTACCCCGCGAATCGAGCCTCAACTCCTTTGGGACTGTTTCATCATGGATACCGAATTTACCGACCTTTGTATCAAAGATAGCTTTTTTCCCACCCTAATGTTAAAGTCGCCAAGCACGATTTTGACATCGTGGCGGGAGCAGCTCCCATTGGTGCGCTCATAGAAGAAATGTTGAAAAACTTCGCTTTGATACGGATTGCGGACGTTCATGTACCGGGGTTAATGCCAGTTCTTGGCGTCTCCACAACAAATCCCTCACCGATTTTGGGCTTCTTTATATTGCCACTATAGTAAATGCCACACAGCCCTAATCGCCTCAGTCGCTGTCCCGTCCATTGCATTTCTTGGTCTTATTTAGTACTGATCAGCAACCATTTTTGAACATTGTAAAAAATAAGAATTGTCAACAGATGTGTCGGTTGCTAATAGAGTGTGAAAAAAATTTATATAATAGTGCAAAAATTGAATAATTTCTAATGTTATAAATTTGGTTGCTAAGGCAAAATAAGCTTAGAAGAGGCGTAGAAATACGCATTTGCCTAGGGTGCTAAATGGTCTCGGGCCGGCCCTGATCCGCTGACTTTGAAACTGTGCGCATGGTGAAAGAGAAACTCTGCAATGTCGGCTTTGATATCGAGACGGAACAGCGGCTAGCATTGTAAACCACTATGCTTATTGAGTCTTATTCGGTGGGAAACACTCGCCAATTATTTTCAACAAAAGAATTTATCTAACACCTCTTTTACTCATTTATTGTCAAGTGGCAATATTTTAACTCTGTCTTCGCACTATTTTTCTTCTTCCTCCTGCTTCTTCCTGGAAATCCGTACACACACTAATGCTTCTCGCAATCACCTAGTAATAATACTAATAGTATCTACGGCTATTGCGTTCTCATTTTGCCTAAAAACGATGCTTTAATTCCTCTTAGCAGTTTTATGCGGAATCTGGTTGCATTAAAGACCATCTCTTTCGGTATATTGAGCGAATTTGCGATTTCATCATATGACTTACCATTCTCTCATCATCAGCGCAATATTTTCTTTTGATCATACTTTTTTCACTAAAATTATTAAATTTTGTAACTTTTAATCAAAATATAGTAAAAGCTTTGCATAAAACATCTTAATATGAAAAGACAGGAAATATAGGAACGGAATAGGAAATTTTGAAATTTTTCCCTTGACAAATTTCAGGGGAAATAGTTTTATGTAAAATAAACTAATTTGAGCAGTACTTTTAATCCCTCATTATTTTACAAATAGGTGCAAAATATTTACAGGAGCATGCCAATGTTAATTAGTTGCACGCATTTATATACATATACTATATGTATATGGACATCAGAGTTATAAAAATTCAAAAATAAATAAAATAATTTTATGAAACAATAACAGTTCATATTATTGTGTGTATATATGCAGCACTTGAATTCAAATCTGTATTTTTTTGTATATTGTTCAGTATTGAAATAGCATATGTTTTCATATTATTTAGTTCATTTGTTATATTGTTTTCTTAAAAAAAATGTTCCAAGTTCATTTATTGTATTCAAGAACTTCCCGAGGCTTTATATGTGGCACGCCAGATTATTATTATACCCTAAACCCTATTACCCTATTTATTATACCCTAACCTGTATTACGTTTGTCACGAAGTTTGTAACACCCAAAAGGAAGTGTCGGAGACTCTATAAAGTATATATATACAGTTGCGAGCATTGAAATAGTAGTGGCTATTGACAAAAATAGTTTCGCATTAAATTTTGTTTCTTTTATGGTATTGAAGTTGATTATTATTCTAGTTATATTCTCTGTAGTGTAACGGTMCTGTTATACACAACAATAAGTGCGAAACACTTACCGTCACTTTTTTACAATTATATTGTGATATCTGTTTTTATGAGCGGGCATTAAAATAGAAGTGAACGGTGAGCTGATTGGACACATATTATTTTTACAAAAAAATATGTATGTAGTTTTATCAATCAAAAAGTAAGTTTCTTGTTATTTTATTTATTATCCAATGGAAAAAGCTAAAAAATATGACTGTGCACTGCAGTGAAGAGAAACGAAAATGGATTCAATCTGTCATAAACAGTGGTAAAACATACAAAGAAGTAGAAAGTCTGGTAGGGTGTTCAGCCACAATGATTCGCAACGCAATTACTTATAAAAAAAAAAATGAAAAGAGGGGCGCAAGGCGGATTCTTTCTGAGAATTCTGTGAATAAAGTTGTAAGATGTGTTAAGACTCGGCCTACAATGTCGGCTGTGGCGGTTCGGAACTTGCCCTGCGGTGTTCATACATTAAGAACACTTTTACGTGAACATAATTTATATGCCCGCAGTCCTCGAAAAGTACCGCTACTAAAAAAAATCATGTAGCTCGACGTATGATGCGAATTTCTTGGCCGATTGAGAAGTGGCGCAACATATTGTGAACTGACGAGTCGAAAATGGTTTTATACGGTGGTAAAGGGTCTCGTCAGTATGTAAAACGCACCCCTAATACAGAGTACGACCCCAGGTTTACCACAAAAACTTTGAAGCAGGGCGGTTCGAGTTTCATGGTTTGGGGCTGTTTTCCTTATAGGGGCGAAGGCCCAATTTACAAATTTACTGACTAATGGACCGATACGCATAGGTGAATATATTGCAGAATATTATGATGCCATTTGCTGAAGAGGACATGCCGCTGAAATGGATATTTCAGCAGGATAATGACCCGAAACATACCAGTAGGGTGGCAAAGGAGTTGTTTCGGGTCAATGGAATTGAGGTCATGGATTGGGCAGCCCTGACCTCAATCCTATTGAAAACCTTTGGGCAGACGTTAAGACAGCCGTATAGAATGACAAACCCAAAAACAACAATAAGTTGTGGACCGTAGTGCAGCAAGCATGGCAGAACATACCACTAAAAAGATGCCAGAGTCTCGTGGATTCTATGAAGAGGCGTTGTATTGCTGTTATTAAAAATCATGGCCATGCTACCAAGTACTAATATCTCGTATAGACGGGGGAAAAATCCTTCAGTTTAAAAAAGTAAAGAATTTATTACTTTACTACTATTTTCTTCTTTTTCTTGATTGGAGTAGTCACCGCTTACGCGATTATAGCCGAGTTAACAACAGCGCGCCAGTCGTTTCTTCTTTTCGCTACGTGGCGACAATTAGATATTCCAAGTAAAGCCAGGTCCTTCTCCACTTGGTCCTTTCAACGGAGTGGAGGTCTTCCTCTACCTCTGCTTCTCCCGGCGGGTACTGCGTCGAATACTTTCAGAGCTGGAGTGTTTTCGTCCATCCGGACAACATGACCTAGCCAGCGTAGCCGCTGTCTTTTAATTCG